TCATCAGTCAGACGTGGGTAGAGAGGTGGAGCCCCAGAGCTGCCGTTGGAAGCACAGGCCTGATTCTTGGTGTCCTGTGTGCTGCCCGGCCCACCTGGGACAGTGCTGCCCAGTCAGTGTAAGGAGTGGTCAGCACCCTGTCGACAGGCCCTGTGTCCAGTGTGGCCTTTAGGACTAAACCCTTGTGTGTCACATCTGAGACATTAGAGATGAGATGGTCCGGGTTCTCTGAGGTCATACTGGTGATAGTTGAGCTGACATTTCGTGAACATTCACAGTGTATCAGGCACTTTAATCCTCATAACAGCCCCATGAAGTGGGCACATGTATTATGACAGTTCTACACGTCGGGAAACAAGTGTAAAGAAATTATGGCAACCGCCTAGGCTGTCCGACCCAGGACCTGGACTCAGGAGGCCAGGGTCTCCCAGAGTCCAGGCTCTCGACTTTGCCAGAACAGTTTCCCATTCTGTTGTGAGTTTGCCTGCTAAGCAGCTCCTGCTGTCCTGCTGGTGGCCCCAGGGCACGGCCTACTGGGCGTCTAGGCTCTCCAGCAGCTGAGCAAGGGTTGAGGGCCAGACCCCAGAAGGCCCCATGGCACCAGCTCCCCTGAGTTGATACGTGGCTGCAACTCAGAGGTGGGGAAAGGGCCTTACTTATTCAAGGTCACGTGACTAGTGAGCTTCACCTTCAAGTACACAAAGTTCAAGACAAAAACTAAGTGCTATTTTTTAATGGGTTGCCTTTTATCTCTACTATTGGTTTATTTATAACTCGTTAAAAAATAATGTACTGCCTCCATTAGGGTTAAGAAAATACATCTTCAGGTGATCACAGTCTGCGCTTGGAGGACATGATCCTGCTTCACGTGCAGCAGCGTGAACCTCCCTCCTCTCAGGCTGCTGCTCTTGTTCATTTCATTCTTACATGTGCTGCCAGTCCACGATGCATGGCTGCTGGTTTCGCTTTCATCAGGAGTTAGTAATAGTTTAGAGAAGGTAAATACAAAAAAGAGAGGGGAGGGTCACCTCTGAGCCCAGTTCTGTTGATCTTTTTGTCTCTTGACAATGTTCTTTTCTGCTTTTGCGTGTGTGTGTGTCTTATACTTTTTATATTGAACTCGAGATAGCGTGTGTAGGACAGAAGAGGTTGAAATAACTGATATTCATGCCTGGAATGGGCTTCACTCTTAAGCTCCCAGGCGTCACGTGGGGAAGTGAGGCTGACGAGGTGGAAGCTGAGCAGGGTTGGGTCTTGCTGTTGCTGTGGTTCCCTTGGTGCACCCCACCCCCAGCCTCCAGTTCCCCCAATGCTGCCTTGTGCTCAGGGTGGAGTGGTTTGCTGGAAGGTTTTCTCAGCGTCTGTTTCCACCTTCTGCTTGCTTCAGGCCCTCTGTGTGCCCCTCAGGTGGGTCTCTCTATGTCCTCGCCCCTCTTCCTGTGGCAGAGTGCTTGGCTGTGAGTCCGTGCCTGCCAGCCCGGGCTTGGGGCTCGGCTGGTCCTCTGTTGTCTGCGTGCAGCCTCAGACCTGGCCAGCCGGGTCCCTGTGTCTTGGTGGGAGTGTTCAGGCCCTGGGCGATTCCCTGCAGGTGCTTCCTGTGGGTCTTCACCTGTGCCCTGGAGGCGACAGGGCTATCACCGGGCTTGCTGCCCCTTCCCTGTTGGCTTTGGCTTGCTCTGTCGGGGAGAAAGGTCCAGCCAGGGCTTCACACCCTTCCCACAGCAGCCTGGACCCCGGAAAGATGTCCCCCAATCTCTCCTGCCCCGCCCCCATCTTTCTCAGGAGCAGCTGGGAGGCTGTGGAGAGGAGCCCAGGGGGCGCCCTCAACCTGGGGTCTGCAAGTCCCAGTGATCTGTACTGTCACTGCAGACCCACCACACGTGGCCTTCAGAGACTGGGTAAAAGTGTTGGCTGAGTTCTTCCCCATCGCGGTTACGTGTGCCTGTTGCGGTAGGAATACTGTGCGGTGGTGTATAATCACTACTGTGCATCTCTTCCCATCCCTGCATTCAGATACATCACGTTGGTACCTCGAAATTGGCCATGGTGGGAGTATTTGCACCACAGAAATCAGTAAATGCTACAAACGAAGGCTTTTCCCTCCTGAGAGTCAATTGTCATAACACTTACCAGAGCACCACTCTTGGGGGAAACCCCGGGAAATTTGTGCCTCTGGTGAGTGACTTGGTGGCCTCCAGGACAGGCGGGCCAGGCAGTGTCAGAGTGGCTGTGCACGGGGCAGTGGCCAGGCCTCTGGCCGAGAGGCTCCGTGGGAGGCCCCTCTGTTCCCCAGGTGCCAGGGTTCACGCTGCCGCCTCTGTCCTTCTCTCCCCAGAGCGCAGCCAGGAGAGCACGGCCGTGGCGCTCTCGGACTCCAGCTCGACGCAGGACCTCTTCAATGAGCCTGCCAGCTCCCTGGAGGGTTCCCAGAAGCCCTACACAGAGAAGAGGCCGCCCGCTCCCAGTTCCCAAGTAGGACCGCCCGGGAAAGACCTTCAGGGGGCCGCAGAGGAGAGAGGTACGGAGACCTGACTCAGTGTGTGGGCAGTACTGCTGGGGTGTCCTGGGAGCCTGGGCAGCGCTGGACAACATGGGTCCTGGCCTCTGCCCTCACGCCTCTGCTGCTGCCCGGGGACCTCGGTTGGCTGAGCCACTCACTTCCCTGGGCCCCGCTGTTTCCCATGTAGGATGGGAGTGATCCCAGGCCCACTCCTGGGTTGTGGGGTCAAACGCGGTGTCTCAGGCAGGTGCGCACAAGCGCCTGGTATGCGGTGGGCGCTGGTGACACTGTTCTTGTTGTTAGGACCCCACTGTGGCCCCGTGTGGGAGAGCCAAAAAGCCTTTGGGTACTATATGTCACAAATGTGCTTTCTTTTTAGCCTGAACCCTTCCTTTCTTGGGGTGGGCCCTGATCTGGCCCTGGAGTCTGCCTAGCTTCTGTGGGGCCCCCAGGCCCCACTGTGGAAGTCAGTGGGCAGAGCCCACTCCCGGGCTTGCTGGGAGGTTGCAGGCAGGCCGGCGGCCCTGGCACTGCGCTGAGGCCGTGGCTGGTCAGCCGGCCGTGGATTCTGAAAGCTTTCCCACTCTGGCCGGGCCGGGGCACACAGCCACTTGGTGGACAGTAGCAACAACAGCAGCCAGGCCTCCCAGCCTCCCCAGGGAAAAGCACTGGCTGTTCCCTTTTACTGGAGAAGAACCTGAGGTCCAGAGAGGGTCAGTCTGCACCCTTATCCACTACCCCACGCTGCCTCTCCGGTGGGCTGGAGGGGCGGGGGGGCTGGGGGCGCTGAGTGTGGAGCGGGTGCTGCCCTCGGTGGTGGTGGCGGCCACGCCTGCCCTCTTCGGGCTGCTTCCCCATTCACGTGCACGGCCTTGAGGCGGGCAGCCCCGTGCCACCACCCACAGGGGCACCCTGAGCCCAGCTCGGAGCCCCCTTCTCAGCTGCGTGCCAGCTGAGATATCCTGTTTCATCAGGGAGCAGACTGGAGGCCACGGAGGCCTCAGCTGGGGGCTCGGGGGGGCAGAGGCAGCGAGGGCCCACGCCTCCTGCCCCTGAGTCGCCTGGGTCCAGCTCCCATCCAGCAAGAGTGTGGACCCAGCTGTGCTGATCGCTCACCAAGGTGCCCCTGTCGCTGGTGGTGGACTGCCACGGGGAGAGGGCCTAAAGCCGAGGTGACTTTCTTTTCTTTGTTCTCAATTCAGGAAAAGCCGAGGAGTCCTTGGAGAGCACGGAAGGCTTCCGGGCCACAGAGCAAGGCAGCCAGAAGCCTGCTGCCGACCCCCCGGCCTCCGCTGGCACCCCTGCCAAGCCCCCAACTTCTGTGTCTGCCCCGTGGGATGGGAGGAAGAGAGGGGACCCACTGGGGGAGCCAGCTGCCTTCCCCCCGGGGCTGCCGGCCGGCGCAGAGGAGCAGCGCCAGTTCCTCACGGAGCAGTGCATCGCCTCGCTCCGCCTGTGCCTCAGCCGCTTCCCCCAGCACTACAAGAGCCTCTACCGCCTGGCCTTCCTCTACACCTACAGCAAGACCCACCGGGTGAGCACGAGGCTGAGGGAGAGGGGTTGATGCATCGGAGCTGGGAGAGGTTTCTGGCGGCAGTGGCGGGAAGGATGGGCGGAGGGCCAAGAGGCGGGCGGGCTGGAGGTGTCCAGCCTTCCAGGTGACAGGTGACAGGGGCAGGCATGGGGCTGCTCCCCCAGCAGGACCACATGCTCAGATTCTGGCTTTGGGGTGAGGGACGGGGGACGACAGGCTGTCAGCTCCTCCCTGTGAGGGCCTCGCTGGCGGCTCCCTCCCCCATGGCCTTAGAGCCCGCACCCCCCGACCCGCCCCGGTCCCCCAGGCTGCCTCTTGCGCGGACCTCCTGGCCATCACCCTGCCCTGGGCTCACCTCTCCACGCAGCTGCCGGCCTTTGTCACTGGCTCCGCGCGTGGGCTTTGGCACTGGCAGCCTCCTCCAGCTTGGAGGGCAGATGATGTAGGGGCTCCCGGCGCTTCCCAGCCAGGCCTCTCCTGCTGGTGCTTAGCATTTGTGCAGGGAGTGGGGCCTGTCTGCTTTCTTTCACTCACACTTGCCCCTGAGGCACTGGGAGACAGCTCCCACAGAGCTACGTTGGGGCGGGGGGATCAAAAATATGCAAATGAGCAGATAAAGCAAGTCGCATCATGACAAACCCTACAGGGAAGACAGTGGGGTGCACATGGGCTGGGGTGCTGCTGCACTCTGGGAAGGTACCCTTATGCTGAGACCCCTAGGGTGGCCACGGGTCCAGTGGGGATGTGGCGGCTAGAAGGGAGGGGAGGGGAGGGCAGTGCCCAGACAGGTGAGCGGTTGGTGGGGCGGCCTTGGGGGTCAGGCTGTGGTCTCTGCTGACCTGAGCTCAGCAGCCAGAAGCTGCTGGCCCCCGGATGGCTTCTCTGTGGGACATTTGAAGAACTAGGGAGGGCAGTTGACCTGAGATGGACCCTGGTTGTGACAGGAAGGTCACAGATGGGGTTCTGTGGGGACCGGCTGGTGTGCTCACGTGACTTGGTTGGTGTTCATGGAGCAGAGCAGGTAGAGCAGTTGGCAGGCCTGGTGGGGGGACCTCAGCAGGGGCTCCGTCTCAGCTGCAGGGCGTGAGGCTTTCCCAGCCACCCATCGCTGCCTGGCCTGCACTCAGCAGTGCACCTGACCTCCAGTGCCCAGGCCTTCTAGACCCAGGCAGACCTGGATTTTAATAAAACTCCCACTCGGAACAGTCTGTGGGGGCCCTGTGGCTGATGCTCCCCTTCTCCAGAAGCAGTTGCTGAGGCGGGACGTAGGGTACAAGACGCCTCTTAGGGAAGGGTGGCGGAAGTCACAGGGTTGGGTGAGGGAGAGCTGGGCTGCAATGTGGGCCCCATGGAGGCCTGCGGCGCGCCCACTCCCACCTCCCCTTTGAATGGCTTTAATCTGAGTACGGGAGCTGTGCCCATAAAGGGCTCCACAACCTGTTCCCTTGCTGAGTGGGCTTTTTAAAAGTGAAAAACAGTATTTATGTCAAAATTAAAGAAAAATTGGAGGGGGGCTATTCATAGTTTTGCCAGTATAACAGAGTACGCTGCGCGTGTGTCTTCTCTCAGCTCTTGAGCACTCACACCGTTGACCATCGGGGGTCGTGTCCTCTGCTTGAAGTCACGGAGCCCGGCTCTGGGAGCCCAGGCCCTGTCACTCCACTGCCCCCCAATGTCGTGAGTGTGTCCATGCTCACAGTTGGCCATTTGCTCTTTCCTCGAATTCCCCCAGGTCGTCTGGGTCCCCTGTGATGGTCTGTGGCGGCCATGGGGTGGGGTGGGGTGGCTGGACCGGGTGGCGGAGACGAAGCTGCCCAAGGTTGTCTGCTCCTTGGGCATCACACCCCATTTCTGCATCTCCTCGGTCACTGTGTGCCCAGATTCGCCACGTGGTTCTTCCAGAGGGTGCACTGTCTCGACGCGTGAGCCCCCCTTTCTCCTGCATCGGCCATGGAGGGCCCCCAATATGCACCCGGGCCTGGCCACGCCCTGGGGGTAGCGTGGGCTGCCATTTGCTTCATCCAGAGGCTTTGCTGAGCAGTTTGTGAATACCTCACTGCCTTGAGGGCTGAGCGCGGGAACCTGTCGAGGTAGCCCGCAGTCCTGGGGGCGTGGCCAGAGCTCTCAGCTGAATCAGTCACTGAGCAGCAGCGACCACTTCCCACGCAGCTGTTGGGTAACAAACGCTTCCTGCCGTGTGGGCTCAACAGCAGCCTGTTTCTTCATCAAATCCGCCTGTGGGCTTGGCAGTGGCATCTCCCCGTTGCCATCTCATGGGTCCGGTGGCTGCCTGGAGCAGAGGCGCCCGGGTGGGTCCTTTGTGCTTCAGAGGACACTATCAAAGTGAAATGATGATCCACAGAATGGGAGAAATATTTGCAAGTCACATATCTGATAAGGAACTCGTATCTAGAATATACAAAGAACTCTTACAACTTGTTAATTAAAAGGCAACCCAATTTAAAAGTGGGTGGGACTTCCCTGGGGGCGCAGTGGTTAAGAATCCACCAGCCAATGCAGGGGACACGGGTTCGATCCCTGGTCTGGGAAGATCCCACATGCCACAGAGCAACTAAGCCCATGCACCACAACTACTGAGCTTGCGTTCCAGAGCCTGTGAGCCACAACTACTGAGTCCACGTGCCACAACCACTGAAGTTTGCACACCTAGAGCCCGTGCTCTGCAACGAAGAGTAGCACCCGCTCGCCACAACTAGAGAAGCGCACGTGCAGCAATGAAGACCTAATGCAGCCAAAAATAAATAAATAAATATAAATAAATAAAAATGGGCAAAGGGTCTGAATAGACATTTCTCCAAAGAAGACATACAAACAGCCAATAAGCACAAGAAAAGATGCTCCACACTGTTACCCATCAGGGAAATGCAGATCCAAGTGCCCTGAGATGCCCCTTCACCCTGCTGCAGTGGGCTAGGGCCCAGGCCTGTGTCTGTTTAGGACTTGTTTGGTTAGGGCTGCCCCCTCCAGGAGGGTTGGCAGAGCTGTGCCCACCACGAGATCTCTGGGAAAGCCCTGACCGATTCATTGTCAGCTTGTGCTCTGCTCTGGGCGGTCCTCTGTCCTCTGGGCCACCAGCTCATGTGTGGGACCCCCAGAGCCTCTGAGGAGTGGGCAGGTGTGAAGGGACTGACCCTCCTGCACAGGCTGTGTGCCCTTCTGTAGGCGCGTGTGAGTGATCGGGGCCAGGACCCGGCATCACAAGGGCAGGTGGCCACAGCGCAGAGCTGCCCACCTGCTTGCAGCCCTGCTCCCCTCTGGGCACATAAAATGCCCCCCACCCCCCAGCCTCTCCACGCAGACCCCAGCCAGGCTCCTGTCAGGCTTTACTTGTGTGGTTTTATAAAGTGAGAACTCGATGTTTTTCTCGGCTTAGGAACCTTGGTTACGCACTTCAAAGTCTGTACCGTGTGGCGTGAAGAGTGCTGTGCCTTTGGGGCCAGAGTCAGCGGGACAGATGGGCCTCTCTCCATGGTGTGGAGCCCATTGATTTGAGTAGGTCAAGCCCTCTGCCAGCCGTGTGCGTCACAGATACTGTTGTTCACGTTTGGAAAGAGGGGTGAACCCATCACCATGTCGCCCCACGGCCACCACATGGCAGGAGTGCCTATGCTTGGCGTGCCCTCCAGGGCGCTCACGCATTCCGCAGCAGGCTCCCTGGGGAGGAGAGTGGGGCGAGAGGAAGTGGGTAGGAATGGGCGCAAGAGTGTGGCCGTTTGGACAGGGCGCCCGGGAGGCCTCTCTAAGCAAAGACCCGACAGTCGAGGGCCCAGCGAGGAGCTATCAGGGAGAGGCCTCCAGGTGGACACACAGCCAACATGCATGCTCCGGATGGGGCTCAGCCCGCAGCCTGTGTGACTAGCCGGACAGGAGGGGAGGGCCAGGAGGCGGCAGAGCTCAGGAGGGCCGGTTAGGTGGGAAGGAGTCGTGGGGTGTCTTTCTGAGTGAGGTTAAAGTGTGGCAAGGCTCAGGGGAGGGGGGGACGCGTGTGTGAGACTCGGGCGGCTGTGGGGAGAGCCAGTGGGGTGGCCGTGGGAGCCCAGCAGGTCGCAATGGCACCATCCAACCGCTGATCTGAAGAGCCGTTAACGAAGGAGACAGGGGCCTGGGCCGGGTGGGCAGTGCAGGCCTGGGTCAGCCGCAGTGCCCCTGGAGTGTTTGCCCTTTGGCGGCCAACCCTTGGCAACCCCTCAGGGAGGGAACTTGGGAGAGAAGCTCTCTGGCCTCACCCCCACCCCAGCCTCCTACCTCCCAGTGCTGCCTCCCACCTCCCAGTGCTGCCTCCCTTCAGCGCTCAGCAGTGGGAGGGCAGAACAGGGGCAGTGGCAGGGCCAGCTCCTGGGAGAAGGTGTGGGAAGGGCAGGGAGCTCTCCCCAAGGCGCCGTGTGTGTACACAGTTGCTTTCCTGTCTGCGTTCCTGGGGTTCTCCAGCTGATGCTAGGTGTGGCCTGATGGCCACCGCCATCCTCCAAGTGGGCAGTGGAGGCCCAGAGAGGCGGTCCAGCTCTCCGAGGCTGCCAAGCACTTCCACAAAGATCCATGTGCACCACCCCGCACCTGCGTGTAGCTCTGCGAGCAGACCCGGACCTCTGAATGCCTGTCCAGGAGACCAGCGGGGGATGTTTTCCACAGAACAACCTCATGCTCTGGCCTCCCCGGCTCCTGAGTGCTCAAGCAGTCCTTTCCTGGGCTCCCTGGTGTGCTGAGCCATGGGTGGGTGGCTGCTCTGCCCCCTCCAGTGCCCTGGGCTCCCCCCTCCCCAGTGTGTGTTTCAGTCTCTTTCTTGCCTCTGGGCCTTAGTCTGTCCCCTCGGCTTGATGGGCTGCATTTCCTTCAAGCTCAAACTCTGTCCATCTTCCTTTGATGGTTCTTTTTTTTTTTTTTTTTTTTTTGGCTGCAGCCGGTCTTAGTTGCTGCACGCAGGCTTTCTCTAGTTGCAGTTAGTGGGGTCTACTCTTCATTGCGGTGCACGGGCTTCTCAATGCAGTGGCTTCCCTTGTTGTGGAGCACGGGCTCTAGGTGTGTGGGCTTCAGTAGTTGTGGCACGCAGGCTCTAGAGTGCAGGCTCAGTAGTTGTGGCGCACAGGCTTAGTTGCTCCATGGCATGTGGGACCTTCCTGGACCAAGGATCAAACCCGTGTCCCCTGCATTGGCAGGTGGATTCTTAACCACTGCGCCACTAAGGAAGTCTCCTTCCTTTTATTCTTTTCTCAAATATCTGTCCCACCTTTCTATGGACCCCCTACTGATCTAGACCCTGAGGAGCCATCAGTGAAGAGGTCAGTCTGTCCCTGCCCTCGGGGCTGACAGACAGCGGGGCGGTGGACGAGGCTGTTTGAGGGCTGTGGGGGTGAGTGGGGCGGCACGTGGGTTTGGAGGTCAGAAGACGAGATGGGCTGGGCCTGCTCTGAGGGAGGGGCGCCTTCAAGCAGAGGAGAGCCCCTCACCAGGACCCCTGCCCTTGAGCCGGTGAGGGGCTCCAGCCCGGCGAGTGGGGCCAGGTCACATGAGGCCTGAGAGGGGTCGCCTGCGTCCCTGGGGTAGCGCGGTGCCGAGCACAAGGCAGAGGCAGAGGCAGGTCTGCGACATGACCCCCATCCCACCTAACCCGCGCGGGGCCTAGGGAAGATCCCGGCCTTGGGGTTCCGGCCTGGGCCAAATGCAGGCTCTGCTCTGCCCTTACTGGCTCTGGACCTCAGGCAGCGCCGGAGGCCGCTCTCCTTGGCAGTTCCACGTGGTGAGGGTAACAGTCACGTGCTCTGCCTGGGAGGCACACGTCGCTGCAGGTATGCGGGCAGGTCAGGTGCCCCCGCTGGCCTGTTGCCTGTCCGTTCCCCACGGGTCTCCTTGTCCCCATCAGCTCCATCTGGGGCCTCGGATGTGAACCTTGATAAGGTCTCCTGAGCCATTGGTCAGTTCCGTCTGGCCCACCTGGGGGCTGCCCAGAGCCTGCTGTCTGCCGAGTCTGTGGGAGGCTGACAGGCCCGCAGTTGGGCCCACGCTGTCTGTGCTCTGCTGGGAAGGCATGCTCTCCAGTCCATGAGAAGTCCCCAGAGAAGGCCTGGCTTCTCACCGTGCCCTGGGTTCCACCAAGAGGCACCACTGCCCAGAGAGCAGCGGCCTGAGCACTGCACAGAGCACCCCACCCCCGTCCCAACAAGCACGCATCCCCGGCGTCCTGCAGAGCCCCAGGTCTCCCAGGCTCACGGTGGCAGCCGACACCCTGACAAGTCAGGCTTGACCGTTTGGGCCAGTGGGGGCATCCCCTGGCAGAAGGTGGGGTGCTGGGTCCGTGCAGCAGCTTGTGAAGTTGTCAGGGTGTGGCGTCCCTGTCTGTGCCCTCCTCAGGCAGTCTGAGGCCACAGTCTCCTAGGTCAGCTGTATTAGGCAGGAAACCAGTTCCTGAAACGCACCCCACAGCCAGATGATCAAAGCCGGCGGCCGGGGCCGCTGGGCGCTGCGGGATGGATGTCTGCAGGAGCTGCTGCTTTGCCCACGCAGCCTGGAAGGAGGGGACTGCCTCCCTTCTCCGTGGGCGCCCAGAGTTGCCCACACACTCACTTCCAACCTACTTCTTGCTTCCCCAGAACCTCCAGTGGGCCCGCGATGTGTTGCTAGGTAGCAGTATCCCGTGGCAACAGCTGCAGCACATGCCGGCACAGGGGCTCTTCTGCGAGAGGAACAAGACCAATTTCTTCAACGTGAGTAGTCTGCCTTGTTGATTTCCGCGGCTGCTGGCTGCCAGCGCTTTTCATGGAAGGAGGTGTGGGAATGGACCCCAGCGTGGGCGTTCCCAGGACACGGGATGGCAGCGGCCTCAGAGGGCAGGCTGGGTGGCACAGTTGAGAGTGCGCCAGACTCGGGAGTGAGGCCCTGCTTGCCGAGCGACTTCTGGCAGGTCGCTGCCCGCTCTGGGCACCGGTTTGCCAGCTATGGGGAGAGGCCTGGACGAGCTCGGTGGTTCTCTGGGGCCGCGGTGGGCAGTGGTGAGAGGGGCTCTAGGCCCGTGCCCTGCTTCCCCTTGGGGTCCTGGGCACCTGGAGATTCTGATTGGAGGCTGGTCTGCTGCTGAAAAAAAATGAGTGTGGCCAGTGCTGGGTCTTCAGTGCGCTTCCAGCTCTGATGTTCCATGCGAGGTAGAGACCCACCCTCAGACAAGACATGGCCCATCCCTGAGGCCCCGTAGAGCCCACATCTGCCCCTCCTGGCCAACCCGCCTGGCCTGGGCCTCCCGCATTTGCTCTGCCCTGCACAGAGACCACTGGCCCCTCACTCTGCTCCACCTATGGGTCCTCACCCATCCTCCTCACCTGTCCTCAGCTGGGTGGCTTTGGCATGTCACATGGATCCTCAGAGCTTTGGTTTCTTCTGTATTTTCCTTGCTTCCCTTTCACATCTAGAGAAGCCGAAGGGCAGGATTGGCCTGGACAGGAGCCGAGGGGGTCTTGAAGGGTCTGGAGGGATGTGGCAGAGGCTGGTTCTTGAGCCATATGGGCAGAGTGAGGTCCCTGCTGAGAGCCGGCCGGGTGGTAGGTGTCTGGATTCATGGCTTTTCTCCTCTCCCAGGCTTGAGCAGGGGCTGGGCAGGGGCACTGAGCCTGGGAGCCCTGCTCCTGCCAGCCCTCTCCCTATGGGTATTTTATAGACAAGTGGTAGATCAGTCTGCATGGTACCAAGGGGTTTGCTGTGAAAGAGATGCTCCCTCCCACCCAGATGCCCAGGCCACAGCCACTGTCCCTCATCCTGCCCGCTTTGGAGCCCACGCCCGGAGACGCACACAAGGGCAAAGTGCACGTGCTCCTGCCCCTGGTTTTTCTTCACTTAAGCGTGTGTCTTGGAGGGTGTTTTTTGTTTGTTTGTTTGTTTGCGGTATGCGGGCCTCTCACTGTTGTGGCCTCTCCTGTTGAGGAACACAGGCTCCGGACGCGCAGGCTCAGCGGCCATGGCTCACAGGCCCAGCCGCTCCGCGGCATGTGGGATCCTCCCGTACCGGGGCACAAACCCGTGTCCCCTGCATCGGCAGGCGGACTCTCAACCACTGCGCCACCAGGGAAGCCCTTGGAGGGTGTTTTTGAACTTGCTGTTCTTTTTAATAGCTGCCTGGTCCTCCCATGTGGATGTCCAAGGTTTACTAACCACCCCTATTGATGGACGTTTAGGTTGTTTCCAGTCTTCCACTGTTGCAGACAATGCTGGTATATATGTCTTTGCACACGCGTCGGGGGTCCACTCCTAGAATACACTCTGAGAGACAATTCCTGGGGCAAGGGGTTTGTGGGGCCTTGAAGTTTTAGCAGATGCTACCCTCCGATCCAGCTCCTCCCCAGCCTTGGACTTACTGACTTTCTCTATTATTAAATGGTTTTATGTTTGCTTTTCAGTGGGTGAAAAACACTTGCGTTCTTTGTGAGTGGGACTGTGATGTCATGTAAGCAGTTTTAATTTTTTCTGTGTAGTTTCTACTCAGGTTCATTTTCCTATTGGATTATTGGCCCTTTTGTTATTGATTTATAAGAACTCTTTCTATATTAATGAAAGGGGCCCTTCTTCAGTGTTCTGCAAAACTTTCTTCTGCAGTTGCTGAACCAGAGTGAGAGTCAGGCAGGTGGCTTGGTTCCCCTGAACTCCTGCTTGCTCTCCTTACACGTGGGCCTGAAGAGTGACTGAGGACCCAGTTAGATAAGGGGAAGTGCCTCACTTGGGAGCTGGTGCATGGTTGGTGCTCCGGGAAAGTTTCCCTCTGCCCCCCGCCCCCCCCCCCCCCCCCCCCGCCCCGTGGTGCTTTGCCCTTAAAGCCTGTGCAGTAATGTTGCAAGAAGGGACCCAACCCCCCTTTCTTCCTTCCGGGTCAGGCACCAGCCTTCCTAACAGCGGAGTTTAGGAGGCCAGCCCCTCAGATGCCAGCTCCCCGCAGCTCCTCCCATGGTTTCCAGAGCCTTCCAGAAATGAGTCCCACAGGCTGAACGGGACGTTTTGCACAGTTTTGCCTCTTCTGGGTCAGCTTTTGTTTCTTTGTGTATCGCAGTGAAAGGTTAACCTCTGGGCAGAGGGCAGACAGGTGATGGCACCCCCTTTTATGCAGCACCCGAGGGACAGGCACTCAGGCTGGCTGGTGACAGCACGGCCCCTGCTGAACCACCCACTCTGGCCTTGCCATTGCTGCGGCTGGACCTTCGGGGTGGACGTGTCTTCCAGCCACAGCTCGCTCCCAGCGCCTCAGGGAGTGCTGGCCCTGCACGCATTTGTGGGACAGATCTTAGCAGGAGGGATGCCTCCTGCCTTGTTTACGAGGAGTGTTCAGGGCAGCCCTCGGCTGACTGCTGCCCTGGCCAATGTGCTGGGCTGACAGCTGGGCTGGGGGTCAGGACGAGCAGGCTGGCTCTTCTCCCTTCCAGTGCTGGGGTTACTGCCCGGGCCTGGGGTGGGGGCGGGGCAGGGACTGGCCCTGTGAGCAGGTGTGGGGAGGTGAGGGCAGGGCCATCCAAACCCCCACCACCCTGGGCGGTGCCGTCATCCTCAGGGCCTGGGCTAGGAGACCTGCCTCTTAACTTTTACTGGCGATTTCTGAAAATCATGTGAGCCACATTGTCATTGGGCCACATTGTCATTGCAAACGGTTCAGACGCACAGCAAAGCCCACACCCTTGGTCTCCCACCCCAGGCCTCCTGCCCTCCTTAGAGGTACCTCTGTGAGCGGCCGGCTACTCCCTTTTCTCAAGTGTACGTGTACCAAATCAGACAAGTTTGTCATTCTGCTTTAAAAAATATGCCTGCGTGTATATGTGTATGGGGGGGGGTGCTTTTTGGTAACTTGGGCTTTTTCGCCGACACTAAGTCTTGGGGACATTCCTTGTAAGAGATGCAGGCCGCCTGTGGCTGTTTGTCCTCTGGGTCCCGAGGAGGTGCTCGCTGCGGGTCTGTGGACCGTCTCCCTGACAGCCCGTCTCCAAGCACGTCCTCCTGGTGCGGCCAGCACCGGCTGCCGTGGGCCCTGCCGCAGGACACTCGCGGGCTTGCCCCTTTGTGCTTGCCCGGTCGTGCAGGCCTCTGTAGCGTGCTGTGGGGCACAGGGAGAGAGCGGGACCCTCAAGGAGTCCGGTTGACTGGAGGCAGGGCTCCCACGGGTAGTGGGTGCTGCTTGGCCAGGGAGGGGGCCAGAGGGAGGCTGGGGCTGAGGCTGCGCCGGCCGGGGCTTCTCGGGGAGCATGAGGGGCCGGGCAGAGGGCTGGGTGCACAGGGGACCGGTGGCCTGGGCCCTGCGGCAGAGGCCTGGTGCACAGCGGCCCAGCCATGCGGTGGGACGAGCATCTGAGGGAGAGCAACGAACTTGGCGCATCTCCATCACCCCCCCGCCCCAAAGACTTGACTGAGGTACTGGTTCCCACCCACCCCTTCTCTGCCGTGGAAAATCCCGTCTGTGGGCCATGTGCCGGGCAGGCTGGATCCTGGCCCTGGGCTTGAGTCCGGAGTGGCCGCAGCCCCACCCAAGGGCCCCACACCCCGCCCTCTCCCGACAGGCAGAACGGTCTGGCCTTTGCCAGAACAGGGCCGGGAGTTGTTGGACATTGCTGGTTGAAGTCCTGCGGCCCTCCCCGCCCTGGCACGGCTTGGCCTGGGCCCTGGGGAGGGACGGGCAGAAGGCGTGTGGCCACATGACTCAGCGGTGCCTCCTCAGGACGACTCTGCAGGGAGCTGGGACCCCATGGAGGACACAGAGGCCTAGGTGGGAGGCAGCGAAGCGGGGCTGGACCTGGGGGTGGGAGCCCTCTGAGCCAGTGCCAGCCCTGAGGGGGCTGCAGAGAGGGGCTGTCCGTCCCTGGGCAGAGGAGACCAGGAAAGCAGAGGCCACGGGCTTGTTTCTGAGTGCCTGGAAGTTTCCACGGCTTCCTGGGCAGGTGTGTGTGCCCCTGGGTGGGGGGCCCGTGGGGGCTGGAGCTCTGTCCAGGGCAAACTTCTCTCCCACTGGTAGTTGATTCGGAAACGTTCCCATAGTAACCAAACCAGAGATGGCTCTTCCTCCTTCCCCAAAATGTTTGCTGATTTTAGCAAGCAGGTTTTTTTTCTTGTTTCAACCCAGTTTCCAGCCACCGTGAAAGAAGCAAAGGGAGCGAGGGCCTGGCCGGCACTGTTCCTGCTTCCCAGGCTGTGCAGGCGTCGGCGACTGTGGCCTGAGTTTGAGGGAGCGGAGGGGGAGCGCTGGCCTGCGGGGCCTCCACCACGGCTGCTCCCGCCCCATGAAGAGGCCCGCCTCTTCATGGAAAGCAGCCCACGGCTGGCGGTGGCTGGCGGCCCCCAGGGCCGCATCGTCACCGAGAAAAGCACAGACTTTAGGCCCCAGTGGGTTTGGCTCCCAGCCACTCACCCCTTACTCAGCCCACACAGGGCATGGGGTTGCTCATTGGCAGGATGGGCATGATAGGTGGACAGGAGCCCTCGGCACACTCTTGGCCAATCACACAACTCACCCTTACAACAGGAAGTCAGCCTGCTCCGGGCCCTGGGGCTTGTCTGCGGATCCGGTGGTGCTTCAAGAGGGCAGTGCTGGGGACCAGAAGGGACCTGGTTGGAGGGTGGAAGGGCCTGCCCTGGCTTGAGTGGGGCAGCCTGAGATGTGGATGTCGCCATCCCCACCTACCACCTGGGCCCCCTTCTGTGTGTCCTGGCTCTACTGTCAGTGCCTGTGGATGCAGCTGTGTTCCTTCTTGTCACTGCTGCAGATGCCACTGTCTGGCTGTCCCGGGGCGCCTCTACCTGCCCTCTCCCCCGTGGATTGGCGGCTTCAGTTCTTCACTGGTACAGGAGGGCTGCTTCTCCCCAGTGCCAGGGGCTCCACGACGAGCACTCCTTACCCAGTGCTCCCACGCACGCCTAACGGCTCTGCCGATCTGGGCCAGGTGCCTTCCCGCCGGCCACTGCCCTGCCCCTCCGGGCACTCAGAACCGAAGGAGACTCTCATTTTGGCCCACCTGTGGGGTGACCAGGGAGACTGGAGCACCTTCCCACGCCCAGGCCTGTGCCTTTGCCTGGGCTCTGGTGTACTCTCCTCTGCAGCCACCACACACCCTGTGGTTCTGTTTGTCCTGACTCCAAGTTGCTTAAACTGATGGGAGATACAGTCATCAGGAGTCATCTTTGTTTCATTAAGTGTTTGTGCCCTGGAGCCTGGTGGCTCACTGAGGGCCCTGATGTGGGAGGAAGGGCCCCCTGGTTGGGCAGCCAGCTGCCAGACAGCTACCTACCAGAGCTGGGGGAAGGAGAGAAGGTCTCTAAAGCCCCTGGCACCCTGTGCTTCTTGGCAGGAATCCGTCCCACTGATCCTACTCTGACTTGCTACCGGTTGGCTGTGTGACCTGGGGGGTCCCCCAACCCCACCCAGTTGCAGATGCCGGTGTTAGGGAGGGGCAGGTGCAACGGGCCCACCGCCCAGGCCAGGGGCCTCTGAGCCCCAGCTATTGCCCAGCCCCAGGTATGGCCCACTGTGTAGGTCAGGCCTCAGCCAGCACCCTTCCCCCAGGGAGAGAGCCCATGGTGCTGGGCAGGGCCTGGCCTCTAGAGCTCAGTGCGCCTGGGCATCCCTAGGTGGGGGCCTCATCTAGAACAGCATTGCCATTGCCCCCTGATGCACCCCCAGCACAGTGCCCGGCAGGCGGGTGTGCCTGGTAAATGTGAATCCCTCCCGCCCTCTAGAGGTCCCTGGGACGAGGTCAGCTAGGAAGCAGCAGCCCCTAGCGAGGGGGCGCCCAGCCCCGGCCAGGCCCTGGGGTCTGTGCCTGGGACAGCCACCTCCTGTTGCGGGGCCTGACTCGGCCCCTCTTCCCCCGCCCTTCCAGCTCAGCGCCGGGTGGGCCCGTGGGCAGCCCCTGCCTCACTTGCATACACCCATTGACTGAGCCAGTGGTACCGCCCCCGGACGCCAGCCTCAAGTTCAGGGCCTTTGGAGGCTCAACCCAGGGAAGAGGTGTTGGTCTCCACCCAGTTAATTATACGCACCCGCCCCTGGCAGCGGGGCTTTGTGCTGCCTCCTGGCAGTAAACAAGCCACGCGGCGTGTCCCTGTGGGGCATTCCGGCCTGCGGGTGCCCCGGCATGGCTTCTCCAGTGTGGAGTCTGCCCGCCCGCTTGGGCCGGGGCCAAGACAGCCAGGAGAGGAAGCGCCCGCCTGACAGCAGACTGACAGCTTTTCCGAAGTTGGTCCCGCCCACGTCACCTTCCCTCCACTCGGGCCTGGCTGTGGACCCGATCACCTTCCACCTCGGCTCGTCCCTCTGCCCACACCTCGAGGCGAGTGTCGCCTGGGTGTTAGACCAGCTCGTGCCAGGCCCTGGGCCGGTTGACAGCAAGATCCAGGGGCCACAGGCCAACCCACGCAGTGGCTGGATTATTAGTCCCGTTTCACAGAGGCGCCAGTAGGTGAGGTGCCTTGGCCGAGGTCCCACAGCCAGTCTAGGCCGGAGGAGGGATGTGGACCTTGTGCTCTCTGGTGCTGAAGCCGCGGGTGGCAGCCGGCAGTGCCTGTGAGGAGGAAGGGCGGAAGGCCAGCGCTGGCTTCACACTGGGATTGGCCCATTTGGCGATAAGCAGGATGGTGGCCTGGGCAGGGGGCACGGGCATCTAGCCCTGCCCTGGGAGGTGAGGCCGCGTGCCAGGTTGATGGGGGGCCGGGGTCAGTAGTGGCCACGGTGTAGACCAGGGCCTCCCCTGGGCAGCGGGGCCATGTGGACATGGCCTCAAGCGACTGGCTGGCTGGGCCTGGCCACCTCTCTGTGTAGACCCCCAGGCCCACCTGCTGGGGCTCCCGAGGCACAGCACAGCGACAGAGGGAGGCCAGAGCATCTGTGCCTGGTCTGGCCCGGTCTTGGACGGGGGGCAGTGGCAGGACTGGCGCCATTTACAGGCGCTCACTCTGGTCCCCACAGCACGTCTGTGGTGCTCAGGCACTGTTATTGTTCCCGTGTACAGAAGGGGAGGTTGATACCAGTGGGCATTTTAGGCTGTTAAAACCAAAAGCCCTTTTCTAGTCTCTGTCCACCAGGCTGGACAGCAGAGCTTGTGGCCCTGTTTCCGGGCCCTGTTCACAGCCCCTCCCTGGCTGCCTTGGCTGCTGTGGGTCCTGGGAGAGAATGTCAAGTGGGCCTCTGCACAGTAGCTGCCAGCAGCCGTGACAGCGGCCAGGGCCCTGGGAAGGCTGGTTCTGTTATACCCCCTTTGAATGAGGTGCAGGGCCCAGGGAGTAGCCCAAGGTCACACAGCTAACAAGTGGCCAGGCTGGGATTTAAATCCAGGTGGGTCCCACTCCAAGGCCTGCTCCCTTAGCAGCTGTGCCATTCGGAGTTCAGCAGCCACATCTGGGCTCTAGAGAGTGTGGGTGTCGGGGAGGTGAGTGTGGTGGAGGTGAGTGTGGCAGCTTGTATCCTGCGCCTCTGCCCCCTCCTGGGATGGGGGGGAGGACCCTCGCCCCTCCCTTTCTCTGAGACCTCCTGGTGGTGAAGCACTCTGTGCACGGCCCTTGATTACCTTCCATCATGCCATGAGTGAGGCCCACTCTTGAGGGGCACCAGGTCTCTGGGGGAGGCGACTAGGTGAACAACAGCTGGGGGAGCCCAGAGCTCGCAGTGGGTTTGCCATCACTTTTGCACACATGCTTTTTGAGACCCTCAGGCCTGAATAAAGCCCCACCACTCTTGGAGGTCAGAGCCCGTAACCTGAGGGTGAGCAGGAGGTCGAGAGAGGCAGAGGAGGTGGCGTGGGGGTGCCTGCACCACAGAGCAGTGGGAGCCGTGGGGTGACCCCGTGCCCGCAGGGACGGGCCAGGTCCTCGCAGGGCAGAGGGGCTGGCAGGGGGCAGACGTGACACCAGCTGACGCAGGCGTGCTGGAGCGGCCGGGCTGGGACAGGGCCAGGTGCGCTGCTGGCCTCCACTCCTCTGGGCGGCCACCACTCACAGCAACGCATCACCGCTCACAGCAGCGCGTTGCATCCTTAGAACCCACAAGGTGTTGGTCGTGCCATCATCCCTGCCTTACAAAGGAGGAAACTGAGGCCCAGCCACACTGCAAGTGGGCGCCTGAGCTGGGATCCAGACATTCTGAAACAAGTCAGGGCCATGGGAACACAGCCAGTGGACGGACCCCAGAGACAGGCAAGGACGGGCCCAGCGCACCTTCCTGGACCGACAGGGTGACAGGCAGGGCCATAGGGACAGAGAGTGTGAGGGCGCAGGTGGAGGTGGGCCCAGGGGTGGGCCCTGGGTCTGCGTGGGCGAGTGGGACACAGGGCGCCCCTGCAGGCCCACAGTTCATCGTCCTACCATTTACCTGAGGATGGTTCAGTTCCACGTGCTGGTGTCGACTGATTCCCAGAAGAAACTGGGATTCCTTGTCACCAGTGGACACCCCTCCCGGTCCTCTGTTCCTGTCCCCACTCTCGATGGAGGGGGACCGTGGCAGGTCACCGCCTGCCCCATCCTCGCTGAGATCACTGAGGCCGTGCACAACACCATCCTGACGTCAGGGTAAAGGACACCCAGTCACGTCAGTGGGAATTAGAGAACAGAAAAGAAGGGAAAAGTTTAAATTAAGGAAATCGAACACTGGGCTGTAGTAGGAATTGCTGCTGTGGCGCTATTTTTAGCTTTATTGAGTTGATTGATGGGCCGGTTGCAAAAGCAAAGTAAACAAAAGAATCACTTCAAGTTCTCCAAGGGAAAAGGCCCAGTTTTTAAGAGTCTTTAAACGGTTAGCAAGCTTGTGACTTCTTAGCATCACCCTGAGCTCTCCTTCCTTCCCGTGTCCTCGGCTCTGCAAGCTTCATGGGACTTCACAGCCTCCAGCCCACTGGGCCCGGTTCAGCCTGGAGCAGGTGCCCAAGGCCTTCCCTTCTGTAGGATGCCCCGGCCCAACCCTGACAGGACCACAGCCGTCATAAATCCCTGCCCGAGCCAAGCCACCCCCATTCACAGCTAGACTTTAAAAACCAATCAGACATAATCAGCCTCTGGACGGGCTGCCCCCACGTGCATTTTTGCCAGGCCCTTGGGGACAGTTTCTGTGTCCAGGTGTGGGCTCACCGCTGTGGCCATGCCAGGATGCCCTGGCAGAAGGCGGCACCCCACCATGATGGTCCCCCAGTGGGGCACGGGACTTGCCCCGGGTCCCACATCCTGCGGGCAGCCTCCACCCCAGAGTTTCTGGCCAGCCCCGGGACAGCAGTGTTTGTATCCGCATCCAGAATGGTCAGGAGCTTGCTGTGCAACATTCCTGAGAGAAGAACATTTTCCAGTGTGCACTGCTTTTCCCACTGCAAGTTATTTCTCAGAGGCTTGCTCCTGGAATCAGTGTCTCCGCTGAGTCTTTCTGAGGCAGGCACGTATCAGGCTCAGCTTCATCCCCCTGGGACACTGCCCCAGGCAGGCGCCGTCTGGAGGGCGGCCGGGGGGCAGCTTCCGGAGGAGGCCCAGGGCCCTCTTGAGGGTTTGGAAAGTGGAGCAGGGCAGGCAGCGGCTCAGACCACGGATGGCAGGGAGCCGCAGGGAGCCGTGGGAGAGGGCCGAGGGAGGGCTGTGTTTCCTGAGGCCGCAGGAGCAGGACCCAGCGGGGCAGGGCCAGGAGGAAGGGGGCTCCCCGAGGCCTCGGCTGTGGCAGAGTCACTGCAGGAACCTGTCCTTTGGGAAGGAGGATGCTTGGCTATGCCAGTCTCTGCTTAGTCCTCTTGGCCCATGGAGTGCTGGGGCTCACTCCGGATGCAGGCCCTCCCTGTGGCTCCCGGCCTGTGGGAGGGCAGTGGCTGTGGCCTGGCCCCTGGGCTGAGGTGGGAGACAATGTCAGGGATCAGGCCTCTGCCATGGAAGGGAGGCCACAGGGCTTGCTTCCATGGGGCACAGAGGAGCTCGGGGACAGCAGACATTTCCTCCTCCCTGCGGCCCCATGATTCCCATCTCACGGTGAGCAAACTGAGGCCCAGCATCGCGCAGCCCGCAGGGAGCAGAGCTCGGATGCTTCTCACCTCCTGCCCACCGCCCTCCCCACCCAGCCTGCGCCCAGCCCGGCAGGAGTGGAGGTTCAAGCCCACCTCCGCCCTGGGCATCATCCTGCTTGCCTGGCCCTGATTAGCTGGCCCCACCCCAGCCCAGCAGGAGGGACTCTGAAGACCACAAGCCCTGAGCCACAGAGCCAGGGAGTGTGGGGGCTGCGGCTGAGCCAAGGCTTGCTGCTTTTGCCGGGGGGCCGCCCCCGTGGGCCGGCGCACCTCTGACCGAGTCAGGTGCCCTGTGACTGCACAGACCCAACCTCCTCATTTGTGAGATGGGGGATGTGAACGTCCAGCGCTTGGCACTCGAGAGCCCTGTGGTCCCAACAGTGTCAAGATGGCCACAAGCCACACACTGGGCCCCAGGGAGCAGCCTGGTGCAATCAGGACGTGGCCATTCCGGGCCCACCCCTGCCAGAGTGCGTGACTGCCTTGCCATCACGTCTCCAAACACCTGTCTCGACAGTGAAAGCAGTGGGCGGGAGCATCCCCCCCACAGAGGGTTCTGGGGGTGGGAGGGGCAGGGTGGAGCGCAGCTGAGGGTCCCTAAGGGGTCTGGCAATGGGTGGGGGCATAGGGGAGGGCAGAGTATATCTGGTGGCCTTTGCCTGTCCCCCATCCCCTCAGGGCACCGTGCCTGTGGCTGCTGCTCATTCACCTCCCCTTCCTTGCGGGCTTCCCAGGTGTGCCCTGGGTAGCTCAGAGTCATCCTGAGCTGGAGTGGAAGCCCCAAGGGAGGACGGCCTTCCTGTGGCGATGGGCGCTGGCCCAGGAGCCCGAGCACAGGGCTGGGCGGCACCCCCATGGCGTGGAGCCGGGGCTGCTGCAGGGGGCTGGAGTGTGGATGCCCCAGCGCCCCGTCCACATGGGGCCCGACCCACAGATCTTCCGGTGCGCCTGCTCTGGGCGTAGCCATGCTGCCCTACCTTCGGGGTTTAGCCCTGCTTTTGACTTCCTGGTCCCGACCCTGACCTCAGTTTCCCCATCTCCAAAGGCAGGCCAGCTGGATGAGGTCAGTGGTTTTCCAACCCTTTTTCCAAAAGAGCCCTTTCTCACACACCCCACTGGGAAACACAAAAGGGCAGCTGCTCCCGCAGAGACAGGAAGGGCCGGGCCCACCTGCTTCGGCTGCACCACCACCGCCTGCTCCCCAGAGGAGGGGCATGAGCCCTGGGGAGGCTACGGGGTCTCTGCCCTGCCACCACACTGCCCACCCAGACAGGGCTTCCCCAGCTCAGGGCCCAGGCCGTCTTTCTGGGGTGGCTTCAGGCTGGGAATTTCTCTCTCTCTCTTTTTCCTTCCACTTTTCCTATTTGGAAAGTTTGACCAAGTTGCTTCTGAGAAAGCGGCATTGGGTTTGAAATCCAAACCAGAGCTGAGGGCTCCAGGGGCCCCGGCCTGGTTTCCATGGTGATGGGCTGTGGCCACCACGTGCCTCTGGGGGCAGAGCATGTACTCCCTCACAGGCCAGGGTGAGGCCACTCAAAGGACGCCCACGCCCTCACCCTCAATTCTGCTCCTGACCAGCCTCAGGCCCTGCACCATGCCTGGCCCCACCCATAGCTGGTGGCTTTGGGCGAGCTGCTCAGTATTGGTAAGACTTAGTTTCTTCATCTGTAAACTGGGGCTGACCAGACCCACCTCACGGGGTTATCGAGGATCACGGGAGACCATTACCACATGTGCCCCGGGGCCACTGTGTCCAGGAGAGGGTCCAGGAAGGCCCCAGAAGGAGGAGGAGGCAGCTGGGGGAAGGGACTTCGTGGAAAAGAGCACACAGGCTCACTGGGGTCCGTGTGGGAAGGAGGCGAGGTGGCTCGGGGCCAGTTGGGAAGGATGTGCAGGAATTTGGTTGATTAAAAACAAATTTTGAAACGTTGATCTCTAATTAGGTATAAGAAGTCTAAAATTAGGGTATGCCAAAGCAGGTGGAGCTTCCCCAGGAAGCCCAGCCCCTCGCCAGGGTGGCACTGACTCTCAGATAACGTCCTGTCACACCCACCCCGCAGCTCCCCATGTGGGGACACTGGCAAATTTGCTTAGGACAGACGAGCAAGGGCCCGCTCCGGGCTGCAGGGGAGGCCGCCCCAGCCCCAGCGGCTCAGTGCTGGGCTTTATTTCCAGAGAGGGACCCGCCTGGCCCTACTCAGAGGAGGGGTGGGGAACCCTGGGCTCCAGGCCCCTCTTGGGTGGGCAATGAAGGCGGCCCTGCAGCAGGGGCACCACGGGAAACCCAAGAGGAGGAGATGGTGGTGCTCGGGCGCAGCGAGCTCTCGGAGGGAGGGCTCGACCTGCGGGAGCCCCTGCCTCAGCCCCCTTTCCTCGGGGCCGGGTGTGAGCAGTGCACCCGGCACCCTGCGTGTGCCGAGGGTGCAGGAGAGGAGGTCGGCCAGCTACAGCAAGGGGAAGGGGGCAAGGTGGCCGGGCAGACCAGGGAGAAGGTGGTCCAGGAGAGGGAACAGAGAGAGGCCAAATGGCACATGAGGGTCGGCACTGGGTGGGGCAGGTGGTGCTGGAGAGGGCAGGGCTGGCTGTCCCCAGGGCTGCCCACGTCCATGGTCATCCAGAGGTACGTCCGGGGGAGGGTGCACTCTAGCCAGAGAGTGATTGGATATGTGCTGCGACGCTGCTTGGCTTGGGTCGTGAACTCAGGCCTCTGCAAGTTCCGCCACCTGCCAGCACGAGCGTCCGGCAGGTGTGGGGGCCCTGCTCCCAGGGGCCGGTCCTCGTCCTTGTTCCTCACAGCTCAGTGGGAGGCCCCCAGGCCACAGCAGAGGCTGCACGGCGCTCTAGAGAGGGGAGGAATGCTGCGCTTGTAACATCTCACATTTGTTCTTCTGGTTCGGGGCACCCCTCAGGTTGGGGACAGAGCCCTGCTCTGCAGGACACGCCTGGACGAGTTTGTTCCCCTTCTGATGTTCTACACGAGTGTGAAGGGTTTGGGGGAGGTGGCGGGTTGTAAGCCTGCTTGGGACCTGAACGCCAGTGGAGGCACCAGCTCTGCCTGGGATGTCGGCTTTGTCTGTGGTCAGTGCCTGACCCCCGCCACCCCTTCAGCTCAGCCCCTCCCTGCATGAGGATCCTGTGCTGGTCATCCAGGGAAGACACCTGGCACAGGCCACGGCCACTGCCACCACTTGTGGCCTGAACCTGGCTCCACTTACTCAGCACAGATGCCCCCGGGTCCATAAAGGCCACTCATTAGGAGCCAGGGGTCAGATGGTGGATGGGTTGTCCTAGTTTTCTCCATGTGCACATCAGACATGGCTTTTCTAGGATGCGGGCTCCCCTCCTGAGATGAAACGGAAGCAGCTCAGCAGCCCTCCAAAGACTGGGCTATTCTAGAAGCCTGGACGGTAGCTCTCATTTCCAACCCTGACGTGGGGCGGGCTCAAAGGAGCCAAGTGTTAGCACCCTCTTGCTCTGAGGAGGCTCTCTTGGGCCCCATCAAACACATGCCAAGTCCCAGATCACCCCGAGAGGCATCAAAGCCTGCTGGTGTCTCTTCTCCTCGCTGCCCATTCCCCAGACCCCTGGCAGTCCCTCTCTCCATGAGGCCACGTGCAGCCCCACTGCACACACTAGGCACCCCTTGCCCTCCACGTGGTCCCACTGGCTGTCCCTGATCGTCCCAGCCACCCCCACCCCTGCCGCCATGTGGGGAGATCCCTGTCCAACAGCATCCAGCCCACAGGCCTGCCTCTTCATCCTGAAGCTGCTCTGTCCCCCACCCCAACCTTGTTTCTCTCCCTCTGAGGCCAGCTCCGCTCCTGAGCCCCCAGCTGGGCTGGAATTGCCAGGTCAGCCAAGCTGACATGGGCCACGGCTGTGTCAGTGCCTGCGCACAACAGCCCTGGCATCCATGACCGAGACCCTGGCTCCGCCCCATGGTGACTGGGGCCTTGGGCAGGCCCTGCAGGTCAGGCACTGTGGAGGTGCATGCATACTCGTGTGCTCATCCCCGCAGAGCTGAGCGTGGCATGGGCACAGCTGTCTGCTGAGGTGGATGCTGCCCCGGACCGAGGGACAAGGGTCCTTGCACCCGGCCCTCTTTGTTTCCCTGGGCAGGTCCTTGTTCCCCACCTGTGTCCTCACTCATGGGTCAAACAGGCAAAACAGCTGGACTCAGTGACATCAGCGATACTTTGCAGCTGCAGAGCATAGTCTGAGCCGCTTTTGAGCGCCAGAGGCTCTAGTGAGAATGAGATGGGGCTGCAGCTGGGGTCTGTGTGCCCGGGGTGGAAGGCGAGCTGCTTTCTCAGCCGTCAGGGAAAGGAGAGGAAGCTGGCTGCCGTGGGCCTGTGAGGCTGGCACGCTACCGGCAGAGAGATTGCTCAGGCACACGACACACAGAGCCAGCATCCCATAGCGGAGAGGCCTGCACCTCCAGACCAGCTGGCAGCTCAAAGCTCCAGTGCTGAGAATTTGGACTGTTAACTCTAAGAAGCAGTCTTGCTACCTAAAAGGCAGCGTTGGACTTAGCCTGGGGAAGACTGGGGTTAGGTCAAGGTGGGGGCTGGGGTAACGGCTGGTGGAAAGGAACCAGGAGCAGCCTGCAGGTCTGCGTTGGGTCAGGTCTTGAGAAGGGTGGCCGTGAGAGGCCACTGGGCCACGTGGTCCCGTGGGCAGCGCAGCCGGTGGCACTTTGGCCAGCAGCTAGCTCTAGGTCTGGGTCTTGGCTTTGCAGGGCCAGGAGCCACCTCTGCTGGGGGTGCAGGCCTGGGGCGTGTGACGCAAAGCACAGGTGCGTGGTTCCAGGGAGGGTGTGGCCACTCGAGGGGGCTATGCTGCCCGCTGAGAGGAAGGTGGCCAGAGAGGTGTGAGCAGGCCCGCCACACGCTCTGCATGCCGCCCCGGGTGCAGGCCTGGGCTCTTGCACACGTTGGTCCGTTAGTCTGGCTTCCACTCCCCGGTCCACAACACGCCTCTTGGCCTTGGAGTCTTCCTTTCCACTTGCATAGGGATGACAGCCTCTACCCCAAGGCTACTGTTTGTCCTCTGCTGCTCCTCACTCAACACGGACGCCTTGAGACAGTCTGGACCACCTTCAGGCCAGGGACTACTCACACAGACAAGGCTGGAGTTGTCCAGTCTCACCTTCTCTGGCTCCTTCTGGCTTTGGCGGCCATCCCTGGGCTCCCGGGCTCACAGCTCCCCCTCTGCAGCCCCGACGGGTGTGCAAGTGCTTCACCTAAGAGATGGTGGCAGAGCAGAGAATGAACGGGGATAGTCAGGTGGGGGCCGCAAGAGGAAAGCTGGCCGCCCGACTTCCCAGCGTGGACACGGGTGCAGCCCCGGCCTGCCTACCTCCCCGCTGGCCGCCCAGGGGTACTGGGTGGATGGTGGCTGGGGATGTGAAGGTCAGGACTTCCCAGGGCTGGCCCTTGACCGGGGCTGGACCAGAACCTCTCCCTTAGGGCTGAAGAGAAGAAAGACAGGGTCCTGTAGGCAGTGAGGCTGCCCGGGGTGAGGGCCATGTGGGGAAGGCCTGGGCTCTGAGCCGAGGGCAGGAAGGGGCCTGTGTGTGGGCCGTTTCCTTCCCCAGCTCAGCCCTGGCCACCTCTTCCTCCTGCTGGCCCCCAGTCCGCCATCTGGAAGAGGTCAACGAGTAAGGTCCAAGGCAGGGGGAGGTGGCTCTCAGGGCCAATTACCTCTTGCCCTTGCCACCATCTTCCTTGTCTTCTTGGTCACCCACAGGTCCTGGGGCTAGAGTGGGGAGAGGGGTCTGTCAGGCAAAGCCCCCGTGGGGATCAGGTGATGTCCTCAGATGTTTGTTTTCTTCTTATGATTGATTGTTGAAGTTTGCTCTGGGGGATTAAGGTTAGGTATCCCTTGGAGAGGCAGCGGGGCACCCTGATAGCGTGGGGCTCATCCTGCCCTGAGGTCAAGGGGCTTCTCAGGTGCTGGGCCTGTCTTCAGCCCAGGGCCGTGCACCCCCCTCTGCATCAGTCCTCCTCCCAGGAGCCTGCCAGGCTCAGGCAGTCCTGGGGCGCTCGCTGTGACTAGGCCAGTGACAAGGGTGACTCCAGGGGCAGGCTGGAGCACACCCTTCAGCACCCAGGCAAGGTGGCCAGGGACACCTGCCCCCCCCCCCAGGATTAACCCCGAACAGCCAGCTCACAGGTTAGACCAGCCCCTCCCTGCTCACAGGGGCTCCTGCTGGCCGTGGGGGAGCAAGGTCAGGGTGGCCCCGAGGGTGGCATAGTGGTGCAGGAGCTCCCACCCTCTTAGGCCCTCAGGGTGGCCCTGAGGTGGGGAGCAGCTGTTTCTCCAGGGCAGTAGTCAGAGGCCTGTGTCCTGCACGTCCAAGTGCTTTGTGGGCGATTAGGACCTGCATAGGGTGCTGACAAGTGCCAGGTGGGGCACAAGGTTTTCTCAGGCCCCAGAAGTTCTCAGGCCCACCAGTCCCACAGCTATCACAGTGCTGTTGCATGAAGCCCCGGGGGGGATCCCCATGTGCACAGAAGTGTTTCCCCCTGGGGGGTCAGGGAGGGTGGTCCCCACTTCCTTGTTCTGCGGCCTGGCAGCTAGAGACGGTGATGCCCATCTCTTGGGGCTCTGGAGAGGGCTGGGGTGCAGGGTGCCGTGTGGTGCTGGAGCAGGCCAAGGAGGTGGAGCCCTCAGGTGCCAGCATTCGCCCGGGGCATCTCCCCAGAGCCCCTGAGCTCCCCTCGCCCACCATGGCCTCCCTCCTGCTGTGACAGCAAGACCCTGAGCCCCGGGCTGCCCCCACCCGCTGTTTCCAAGCTGTGTGGGAGGCCTCCTGCACACAGGGGCCTGTTTCCAGAGAACTACCCGTTCCACACACACCGTTTCTTTCTGGCCCAGATGTGATGCCCACACACATCTTCAGCCTCCCTGGGTCTGACTCGACCTGTGCAGGGCATGAGCGTCCCATGTCTGCTCTAGCCCTGGGGACAGCTGGGGGGAGTGTCCCCACCTCTTCTGGAGCCGGCCAGGCCTGGGGATGGCTCTCAGCCATACTAGACTTCCTGCTGTGTGACTCTGAACCTGTCCCCACGTGTGGGTGTCATGACGACATGAGTGTGGACAGTGAACAGCTGTTGTGACTTGAGGACGTGTGGCGGGAGCACTCCTCGCCTGAGACCCAGCCCAGTGGGCATAGCCTCAAGGTGGCCTGTCTCCCTGCAGCTGTGTGGCCTCTGGGAGCCCAGGGCCAGACAGAGAGTCCTGATCCTCCAGGGAGTGTGAGCCACTGCCTCTGCGCCCCCCGGAGGGAGGGCAGGCAGGGAGTGCACAGCCCCCTGGCCGAAGGTTGGCCTTGGGCCGATTGGACTGGGGGCACGTGGCAAGCCTGGGAAAGCTGGTGGGCAGGAGCCAGCCGGGGCAGGACAGGTGGAAACTATCTGGCTTGGGGAGATGTCACCAGGACAAGTGTCACCAGGATAGGGACCTGGTGGATCTGAGGCATCTGGGTGTTTGGGGAGGGAGGAAAGAGCCGGGCCCTCGTGGTGCTGAGGTGGGGGAGGGATGGTGGGGAGGCTGGTGCCTGGCCGGGGGGCTGCGCCTTTGCTCGGCCTGTCCTCAGCTGGGTTAGGAGAAGCAACCAGGAGCTGGTGGATAATTCCAGGGCGGCCGGCTCCACAGGAAGCCAGAGAGGAAGGTGCTGTGTGCTCGCTGGGGCTGTGGGTGCCGGGGGCGTCCCTCTGAGCCCACTCCTTTCAGAAGGGGCACAGTCCCGCTCCTGGCACCCGCAGGCCTCTGCAGGGCTGCCACATGCCGAGGCTGAGGGGCTCCTGAGCCTGCCTGGCTTCTGCCCAGCCCCACCCCTCCCCTCAGTGTCTTCTGCTCTTGGGGCCTCACAGCCAACTGGAAAATGAGCCCCCTCCCAGCTGCAAAGCCCCCTAGGGGAGGCCATGATGCCCCTGTCCTGCCCTCCCCGCTGAGGATGGGCCTGGGAGAGGCTTCACTCCAGCTCCCACTGCCCCACTGGGTCAGCAAGGACATCCCCCACTCACCCACTCCTCTGCCCTGCACCGGGCCCTCGGGGCACAACTCCAGCGGCCCCGCGCACAGAGCTGCCCCGTACAGGGCGAGGACAGCCCCAGCCCAGCGCGTTGCTGGCCCCTGTCGCCCTGCCTTCCGCACTCCTGGCCGCCCCTACCCGGCTCGGCCTGGGATGCCAGGTCCCACAGCCTCCCGCGGTGAGGGCTGTGCCCCCCGTACCCTCAGCGGCCCGGCCCGGAACCCGCGAGTGTTTGCCGGCAAAGTCAGCCGTGCCGCTGGGCCCGCTTCCAGGCCGAACAGCGAGCGAGCGCCCGCGCCCCGTCCGGCCCCGCCGCCCCGCCCCGGCCCTCCGAGCCAGCGAGCGAGCGAGCGTCCGCGCCATGGCCCGGCGCCCGCCCTAGCTCCCTGCACAGATGCCACGGCGGAGCCGGCGGGTAGGAACTTGCCCGGGGCGGGGGCCGGGGGCCGGGCCGCGACAGTGTCTCCCCTCTGCCCGCAGGCTCTGCGCTCTCCCGAGCTTTGGCTCAGTCCTCCGGGCCGGCTCACGCGGCCGCCCCCCGCCTGGCCCCCGGCCCGCCCGGCGCAGCAGGAAGCCCGCGGGCCGCGGTTTCCCGGGCGCCGCGGCAGAGGAAGTCGGCAGGCGGCGGGGTCGCGGCGCCCCCTGCCCCGTCCGGGTCCCCGCACAGCGCCAGGTGGGCGGCGGGCGGACCGGGGCGGGGGGACCCGGGGGAGAAGCCCGCCCGCGAGCCTGGGGCGAGCCCAGCCGACCCGCCGGGGACGCAAGTGGGCGCGCGGGGGTGTGCGCTGCGCCGGCCCCGCGAAAGCGAAAGCCGCTAGCTCGCCGACCCAGCAACTTCGCGGCGGGCGGCGCGGACCGGGAGCTGCGCGGGCCACTACCGGGGATGGTGAGCCGGCCGGCGGGTGGGCAGCGGCACCCCGCGCGGTGCTTCCCCGGCTATAAATAGCTGCCGTGCGGGGGTGGGAAGATGGTGCCGGGGCTTGGCGAGCGCCTGGCCTACTCCAAGCCCCGGGCTGGGCCGGGACCCTGCCCCGCCGCAGAGTGGGCGGGAGGGGGCGGAGGGGCTCGGCGCGGAGGCGAGGGGGGCCCGGCGGAGTTGCCGGGTGGGCTGCCTCCGCGCTCTTAGTTGTTTGTCATTTCTGCTTCTCCCCGGAGGGGGAGGGGACGGACGGCCTGGCAGTTCTGGGGATCCCGTGTGCGACATCTTATTTGGCAGAAGAGGCTGGAAACGGGCGGGCACCGGCCGCAGGCAAATTGTAGGCTTCCCCAGCCCTTGCCTGCGCTGGGGACTCGTTACCTGTGGATGGCGCGGGGAATCCCTTTCCCTTCGCAGCCCAGCTTGGACGGCTCCTGGGGGCAGGGCCAAGGCGCCCCTGGCGGCCTCTGTGCAACCCTGCGGCCAGAGAGGTGGCTCTGATGGTTTTGCAGAGGAGGCTGCAGGGCTTCCTGCCCCCAGGCGTGTTCAACCTCGCCCGCCCCTGGCGCGCCCTTAACCGAAGGCCTGGAGCAGGATGGTGGCTCCGATTGCTGTGGGAGGTGCAGGGCCCTTAGCTCTGCAGGGCATCAGGAAGATGGGGAGCTGGCAACCTGGAAACGCAGTTCTGGCCCCAAAGGCCTCAGGACTCCACCAGGGCAGTTCCTGGAGGTGATGGAGCCATCTGGGCCGGCGGTGGGAGAGGTGATGCCGTGCTGGCCTGCCTGTCTGTGATGTTCACCCTACTTGGGGGCAGGCAGGGCCGAGCGGGAAGAGCTGGGTAGGCTGAGTTCTGCTGCCAGCTCATCTCCCTGTTGGCTGTGTGCCCTGGAACTAGTCTCTCCGGGGGAGGTGTAAGTGGGGTCATGTGTGGGAGAAGCTGGGAAGGTGCCCTGTGAGTACTGTCGGCCCCAGGGACTCATGGGCACCAGATGCAGCCCTGCCCTCTCCACCCTTCTCTGAGTGGTCTCGCTGCTTGGGAGGTTTGCGTGGGCTTACAGGTAACAGGTGTCTCCCCAAGCCTGTGGAGGGCGCCGGTATTCTCCCCAGGGCTGCTCTTGACCTCAAGGCCTCACAGTCAAGATACCGACGCTTTCTTTGCTCGGCTCAGGGTTGGGCTGCGGCACCGAAGCTGTCCTGGAAACAAAGTTTTTATGCTTCTCTGGGAAAAAAGACTCCTAAGCTCCTACCCTGACACCCCTTCTTGCTGAGGGGCTCCCTCTCACCCTCCTGCTCCTACAGCCCCCAGCCCACTGCTCCTCGGAGTGGGATGCCAGCAGGCTCTCCTGGCCTCGCCTGCTCGGAGCGCTGAGTCACTGCTGCACCCATGCCAAGGGGGTGGGCTGCAGGAATCCCTCTGCCCGGGAGGCGGGCTCTCCCTGGGGTGCTCACAGCATCGTGTTCTCTGTGAACAGGGATGTTGGGCTGAGCGGCCGTGGGGAGGCCTTGCTCACCTGTCATGCTGTGGGCGTGGGACAGGTGGGGGCTGGGAGGGCCTGGGCAGGTGGGACGCTCTCCGCATCTTAGATCAGGAGCTCAGGCACGGCCTCCAGGACAGCACCCGCTGCTGCATGCCCACCATTGTCCCCTCTGTGGGGAGGGGTCCAGCCCGAGCAGAGGGAGAAAAGCTCTGTGGGGAAGGCTGTTCAGCCGACATTCTTCCTAATGATCCTGAAGACTCCACCCCAAATGTCACCCAGGAGGGAACCGAGCGAGTTAGGGTACACCTGCAGGGTGACGCACTGGGGTCCTTTTAAGTGATGGGAAGTTTTTGATGGTGCAGGAAAATACGCGTGCTCCATTACTGAGTTAAAAATTAAGGTGAAAGAACTCACGCTCCTCTGTACCTTCTGCTCAGGACACTTGGGTCACAAGGTCGACTCTAGGGGGCTGCCCATCTCCCCTCACTTGGCAGGGGCTCCCCTCCCTCTTCCTCCGGTTCCTGCTCCTTTCTGGCTTCCTCCCTGGCTTTTCCTGTACAACCCCCTCCCCAAAGTTCTTGCTCTCTTAGCTCCTTTTTTCTTATTCCAATCTCTCGTCTGTCCCCTCGCCCTGGATGGCAGCCATCTGTGTCTGCCTATCCCACCAGCATGGACCCCTTTGGGGGTGTGCCTGACCCATCCGTGTGACCCCCCAGTCCCTGGGATGCACTTGGCTTTCTGTGCAGTTGCCAGGCTGAGCTGCCCTGGGGGACCCAGGGGCCTCCCTAGCACCTGCGGGGGCTCCATCTGGGGCGCAGACCCCCCCAGCTTGACCAGGCCTTGGCTCAGATGCAGCGCTGGCAACTCCCTCAGAGCCGCCCGAGAGCTGCACCAAGGTTGTGGGGACTTGGGACCAGGGTCTGTGGTCTTGACCGGGAACATTCCTTTTGTGGAGGGTGTGCAGGCCTGCCTGGTGGCCCCCCAGAAGGCCAGCTCTATTCAGGGCATGGAGGGGCCAGGAAGCAAGAGAGGCTCAGCCCCTCCTGCCTGTCCACCGGCGGCAGCTCAGAGTCTGGGGGGGCCGCGCGACAGGATTCAGGACTGGCTGCTGCCCACGAGAGCTAGGTCGGCCCTTGACACCACCCTGTGGCAGCCCTTGCTCAGGCTGGGCTGGGCCTGGGAAGGCACCAAGCAGACA